TTCAACCCCTACACCTGTCAGTAGTGTTCTAAGTACAGGTATCTATTTTTTAAAAACTCACTTTTGAAGTGCATTGATTTCTGTAATTCAGAAAGATGGATTTATCAGTTCATTTCACAAAGAGAAAAACATGTTTGTAGAAAATGCATATGATTTCCAGAGTATACTTATTCACTTTGCCTCTCCCAAAACCATTTCTCATCAACCCCTACACCTGTCAGTAGTGTTCTAAGTACAGGTATCTATTTTTTAAAAACTCACTTTTGAAGTGCATTGATTTCTGTAATTCAGAAAGATGGATTTATCAGTTCATTTCACAAAGAGAAAAACATGTTTGTAGAAAATGCATATGATTTCCAGAGTATACTTATTCACTTTGCCTCTCCCAAAACCATTTCTCAAAAACCAGGGCTTAGTACATTTCACTTCATAGTCCAACGGTAAAATGTACTTTAACGGTAGGGCAAGAATCTCCAAACTGCTAACACGAGGGTTCAGAATTATTGATAGCAAAACATTCTTATAAACCTGGCATAAAATGACTTACAATAAAATACTAATGCATAAACACTGAATCTCTATAAGTAGGTCCCTGCCAAATTCATGGCCAGGAAAAAACAGATCTCAGACTGTGAAATCTGGTCTCTTATGCGCTTCTTACCCTATACTGTACAGATTTCACAGGGGAGACTGACATTTGTAAAATTCAGGATCCCAACCTAAAAGAGCTACAGGAGGAAGGGGGGGGAGGGTCACGATATTGTCACCCTTACTTCCAAACTGTTTTCAGAGCTCAGAGACCAGAGTGTGGCAGCACCCTGCCAGCAACAGTGCAGAAGTAAGTTTGGTAATATCATACCATGCCACCCTTCTGTGGTGCTGCTGGCTGCAACTCTGCTGTCAGAGCTGGGATCCCAGCAAGCAGCTGCTTCCTCCTGCTGCCCAGTCCTGAAGGCACCATCACCAACAACAACCCAAAAGTAAGGGTATCAGTACCATAACCTCCCCCCCCCCCCCAAAATAACCTTACAACTATCCCCCCAACTCATTTTGGGGGTCAGTACCCCTACACTTACAGCACTGTGAAATTTCAGATTTAAAATGCTGAAATAATTAAATGTATTATTTTTAAAATCTTATGACCGTGAAAGTAACCAGAATGGATTGTGAATTTGGTAGGGCCCTATCTAAAAGCTCTCCTTTGACAATATTTGTGAGGAAGAGGGTTGAAATGTTGCATGCTTGGACATATTTGAAATGATACTTTCATGTATCTTTTATTAGGTGTACCAACAGTACCATTATTGCCCACAGCAGTAAATCAGTCCCTCAGCGCAGTGCCACCAGTTAACCCAGCATCTACGTTACCAGGTGAGTATTGAAAACTTGAGCAAACTCAAATGTTTTAGAAACAAAATAACTCATGATTGGAGTCCAGGGCCACTTCAAAACTTTGTGATGTGGCTTCCCCTTCTCAAATTATTGCCCACCCCTGGTCTGGATAAACCATACTTGCTGCTCACTTAAAACATAGTTTTTCTTCAGCACTGATAAATGTACTAGACTCATAACAAGAAAAAAATGTGGCCTTGCCCTGCACACTGTTAATAATATTTTAGATGTGATGGGACCAATGAGACTGACATCTAGTAGGAAGGAGAGAGGATGAGGAAGGACAAGGTACATGTGTTCTGCTTGATAATGTAATTAAGTTTTTTCTAAAAATGTTGACCTTCTGGAAAAGTGGAACAGAGTTTTAAGGCAGGCTCCCTAGCAGAGTTACAGTTTAAATGTTAACAGGAACTAATGTGCATTAGTTTATTGGTTAACTGGTTAACCTGTTAGACTCTTATATCCCTAAGGATATCTATCATAACTAGGGATGTAAAATCCCGTTTAAGGGGTTAACTGGTTAACAGATGAAAGGGCCCATTGCCAACTTTTTGCATCTATAATCTTAACTTCTTCTCATTCTTAATTATACCCCCATGTCATGAAACTGTAAATGATTCTCTCTTCTCTCCTCCCCCTGACATTTTACATCCTTTGAATATTTTTACACTAAAATCACACTATATACATTTTAATTCTTAATATTTCCCTGTGCTTTGAATCCATCTTTCAGATGCTGAACTTTTTGGTTAATGCTCAGTACATTTGGAGGTAGCATAAGACTAGTTTGTGCAAGACCTGAAACCTGAGGGGGTCACCTTTCTTGGAATATTTAGATGGCCACTAAATAGCTAGTGGAGATGGAACCTGCCTTCAGCAGATTTCATTTCTCCCACCACATACACTGCTGTATGACTGCCTTGGGTATATTTCAGGAAGAGGGGCAAGGCATGAGGCCTTCCTCCAGAAAGGAGACATCTACCCTACAGCTCAGAGAGGCTTTCCTTTTTGGACAGAAGCAAATATATGGGTGTGGGTATAAGCTCTTCTATGATTGCTCTGCTTTAGTGGCGTGGGTGTCAGATGTGTTTGATCAAATTATGATTTTTGACACTTTAACTGCACTATTTTGTATGGTTAGTGAAGTTACATTCAGTATTCATACCATTACTCTGCATATAGTTTATCATAAGCTCATCAATCTAGAGCCATGGGTGGTAGCCATCTGTTTCTGCATTTGGATCAGTTTAGCTTACAGCAGTATAGATAGCCTATTAAATGTTTAGTGATGATAAATTGTGTAGAGTTCCTGTATTGCACAAGCTCAGTTTCCAAAATCTATTTTAGACTGGTATGGTATTCACAAAGTGGGTAGCAAGAATGTTTGTTCAGAAATTAATTAAATGCTGAATCTTCATATGCCACAATCATTCTATTGTAGTTTGAAAGACAATGCACATCTTATATAGAATTTCTGTCTATTTCCTACTAACTGGTACAGGATACATAGGATTACTTATGTACTTTGAATGTTAATATGATGTTTTCTTAACACAATTCTTGGAGGCAGATTTCCCAGGGTGGAAAGAAAATATAGTAGAGCTAAGTGTGTGGACGCAATGGTAATGTCAGGAAATTCTTGATTCTTGTCCCACAAAGTTGAAATGTCAACCCACAAAGAAGTTTGCTTTCATGAAAGTGGGAGTACTTCCCTGCCAACTCTGAGCAATATGAATGTTGCTTTGAAATCCCCAGGAAAACTGTTCATTACTTTTATGTTTGTAGTAGTGAAACTGTAAATTTAGGACATTTAAAGCCTTTTTAGTTAGCTACAGCTTGGCTTCTGTGTACCGTTAAGTTTCCTGGAAAAAATATTCACACTAGTCTTAGCTTTCAGTCTAAAGACAAGCTCTCTCTGTGAATCAGTCTGCCATTATTTTATTACTGATCTACTTATTAATCTGAACAATTTTTGGGGCTGGTACTGTTTTGAATCTGATGTTTTTTGTTTTTAAATAAAAACATTGTTGGATCTGATTTTGCAGTTTTCTGTTTGTTGTGACATGAAAGATTTATTTCAGTATTACTCGTTTTTAAATGGAAGAGGTGGCCCCAGTCCCATAAAGGCTTCAGTTTATTTTTTAAAAAAAAGTGCGGGAGGAAACAGGATATTCGGGTGATCTCAATGACAGGCACATGCCATCTTAATTCCATACATTTTTATAACTCATGCTTAATTTTGCATATTTCTTTAGAACTTGACCTTATTTCTGCTTATTTTTGTCCTTAGCCATAGTCTTTTTCGTTGTGTAAAAAACTAACACCTGTTTTGTTTAGCCTTGATTTTCCTGTTGTTTTATCCTATTTCTGTTTGTCACTTTAAAAACAAACAAACTTGTCCTTCCTTTTCATTATTGCTAATCTTATGGAAGATTCTTACTATGATAAACATAATTTATCCACTTCTGTATTTTTTTTAAACCTAAAACTTGATTATAATAGAATTCAGTGAGGAAGGTTTTTATTCCTAGGAATAAAATAGAATTTGCTGAGAAATGGGTAAAAAATCTAGCCCTTCCTCTTGCGACTACAGGTTAAACTTCTAAAATCTGGGACTTCTGGTCTAGCAACCAGACCATGGATATTGCTAGATCACAGAGCTCTGGCTGTGCTGGCAGTGGGGACCGCAGCTCTGGTGGTGGAGAGTAGGCTGGGGCTGGTGTTAGGGAATGTAGCCCCACCTGGGCCCCCGGCAGCAGGGTTGGCACCCAGGAGCACAGCCCTGGCCAGAGACAGCAGGGCCTGGCATCTTCAATACAGTGAAGAGCACAGCTCCATCCCCAATGGAAGCACAGCCCTGGCAGGACTGGAGCCAGCAGGGCTGGCAGGGACCAGGATTGACAGCTGGGAGGGGAGCCTTGACCTCCCCTGGTTCGGCAAACACCATAGTTCAGGACCATTGAAGTCCTGAAAGTGCTGGACTAGGGAGGTCGTATCCGTATTGCATCTAATTTAAATCCCTTTCATCACAGGGTTTTTAAGATTAAAAGAGGCTTGTTCACTTTCCCATTTGTAAGGAGAATTACCAAGTTGAAATGTAGTGTGAGTAAGTTCTATCTGGAATAGTTTTTCAACTGGCTGTATATAGCTCTTGAAATTGAGGTGTTTGTTTTGTTTTGTTTTAAAAAGGTCTGATTTCATTACCAGCTGGACTTCCTAACCTGACCAGTCTGAATTTACCTGCTCCACACATCATTCCTGGTGCTGGATTATCAGAAATCATACATCCCGGTATGTCTGCAAATGTAAATATTATAGTAACTGGTTTCTGAAGACCTTACACCATAGTATTTCCTTGATATCACCCTTCATTACTATTTCCAAGTTGTGCTCTGTTAGTTGGTTCAGTGGTTCCCAACCTTTTTTATACCGTGGACCGGCAAACTTTTGGAGAACCGGTATAGAAACATTTTCAAATTCATTATGGTAATTTTAAGTGATCACATCTTACATTGCATCTGCACACACCCAATAAGGGAACCCTGGGGAAAGATGGAGAAGAAGAGAAGGGAAAGGAAAGAAGGGGCGAGGAGCACAAGTGAAAGAGGGGACCAAGCTAGGGAGAGGCTGGGCTGAAAGCTTCTCTCACCTTGTCCCCTCACCCTGCTTCAGCTGCCTGGGTAGAGACAGCCCCTGCTCAGCCCTGGCTGCCCCACCAGCAGGTCCCCAAGCCAGTTCCCAGAGCTCAGTGAGGCTGAATGGTGGTGGCAAGGGCGTGCGCGTGCATGTGCGCGCGCTCTGACTGGGCTGGGAGCAGCTGGAGGCCAAAGAGAGGCTCCCAACCTGGCGGGAAGGGAGGAGAGAGCTTCCTGGCAGCACAAGTGTGGGCGAGAGAAGGGAATCACGGGGTGGAAGACTGGCGTGGGGGTGACCAGGAGCTTCTCCTTTGCTGCAGCTGCCCTCCATGGGGCCCCACCAGCTGGGCCGCATAATAGCTTCTGAATCTGGAACAGGAACCACATCCCTGGCTCCAGTCACAGCACACTGGGGCAGCCGCCTGCTGCGCCATTCACTGTGTTGCTGCATGGGGAAGTGGGGAGGGTGTAGAATGTTTTGTGCATGTATAGGCATGCACCTCTTACAGAGAACTATGCTCCCCAGTGGGTGGGGCTCAATTAGCAGCTGGGGACATGGCCTGGCAGTGTGCCACAGCCTGGCAAGCAGCCGTTTGCAGCCAGTCACTGGTCTGCACACCAGTGGTTGGGAACTGCTGGGTCAGTTCATGTAGAGCAGGGTTTCCCAACCTATGGGTGCAGATCCAAATATGGGTCACCATTACATTTCAAAAGGGTTGCCAAGTGTCTCCCCATGTGGTGCTCCTAAGGAGCCATTCACACATTTGAAAAGGTCCCCCCTGGTCAGCTCCACAGCTGGCTTAGTCTTAAGGAGCCATTCACCTGAAGTGGTACTCAACTTAATTGGTTTAACAACCTTCAGGCAGTTAAGCTAATTATTATCAGTTGAATTGAATACCATTTCAGTGACCCAGAGCAGAGTAAGGCAGGGGTCTCCAACCTTTTTAAGCATGAGATCACTTTCAGTGCAATCCAGGATCCACCTCAAACCCAAATGCCCTTGCCCCACCTCCTTTGTGCCCCTTCTCTGAGGCCCTCCCCTGCTTACTCCGACCTCCCATTCTCCCTCCCTTTCACCAGGCAGGGGCAGCGAGTTGGGACACAGGCTCTGGTCTTGGGCTAAGGGATTTGGAGTGTGAGGGGGCTCTGAGCTGAGCCTGGGGCAGGGAGTTGGGCTGCAGGAGGGGGTTCAGGGTGCAGGGTCTGTAAGAGTGTTTGAGTCTGGAGGGGCTCAGGGCTAGGTCAGGGGCTTGGAGTGTAGGAAGGAGTACGTGACTGGGGCAGGGGTTCGGCGCTGGCTCCAGCTGAACACTGCTTGTCACAGGTGGCTCCTGGGTGGTGGTGCAGGGGGCTAAGACAGGCTGGCCCCGGCCCTGGCCCTGCACAACTCGCAAAAGCAGCCAGCAAATTCCTTCCATCCCAGGCCCTGTTGTCCCCTTCTCCCCATTGTGTGGGGATAGAATACAAGGTGAAAAAAGGGGCACCCTGACATCAGCGCCCCTCCTCTCCCTTCCCTGCTCTGTACCACAAGCAGGAGGTTCCTGGGGAGGGGCAGGGGGAAGCTCCCAGGCAAAGGGCAGGAGGTGTGCAGCAGTGGCGGGGAGGGGCAGCTGAAGAACTGGCACTTGATAGCCTCTTGGCCAAACCAGTCAGGATCACCTGTCAGAGGCTCCAAGATCTACCAATAGATCCTGATCTATTGGTTGGTGACCACTGGAGTAAGGAACTATCCCTGGACATGTGAATAAAGAAGTTAGAATGCTAGGGAACACAGAGAAGAAGCAGAGCCCAGCTCAAGTAGGTGGGGGTGGGGGTCCAGGTGTCTGGGCATCCAGTTGAGAGATTTCCAGCTGCCCCTGCCAGGGTTCCCAGGGCTGGGGTGGACTGGCCCCGGGGGGAGGGGGCTGGGGTAGGGGCTGGTACTGTGCTGGGGGGGGAGGGGTGCCACAACATTTCTGAGGCTATAACAGTTAGCAGAGCAAATGCAAGCTCAACCCTCCCATTAATTTAACAGGTGAAACTGTTTGGTAAAATACTAAATTTTACTTGGTTTTTTTGAATAATGTTTCTAATATTTTTGTAACACCTGAGAGACTCCCAGGTCCAGAGTATGCCCCCCAGACCCCTGACTATGAAACTCCCAGTTCCAGAGTGTGGGGGGGTTAAGCCGGGGGAAGGGGGGGTAAGCGGTTTGGGGATGTGTCTTTCCCCCACCCCAACTGAAATAAATGTAGTGTTATTTTATTATTAATGTATTTTCAGTTTTTCTGTGAAATAACTACTATAATATATAAACAGGAGGGGGAACAATTTATATTCTTGCCTCAGGTGCAAAATAAGTTAGTCAGGGTCACCATTACATTTCAAAAGGGTCGCCAAGTGTTTTCCCAGGTGGCTCTGCCTCCTCTACTCCCCCTATTTTTGAATTGCCTTGGGTCACCAAGTCTTCCTTAATTGCCTTGGGTCACCAAGCTGCAATAGGATGGTGCCCTCTTCTGGTCAATCATGGAATATGTATCAATCTAGTCCTCCCTACAGTAGATTTGGGTTGTTTCCTAATTACCCTCCATTAGATGTATGGTTACATAAAGGTTTCAAAAGCTTTTCCTTTGTGCTAAAATTAAAAGGCGTTTTTTAGGGGAGGGTTAAATAAATGCATAGTTCATATTTTGTATGTGCCAGGCAAGGAGGTTGAAGAGGCTACATAAGTATCAAATATTATTTAAATTTTAAAGGCATGGTAGTGAATACAATTATTGAATAAATTGGAACCTTAAATTGAAGAAGGTTTCTGTGGGCATTGGCCAGATTCAGGATATTCTGGAAAAAATCTAGTCAATACTTTTAATATATATATTTGTACTATTGTCTCAAGCCTGGTAGCAGCCTCTTGTACATGTCAGCAGGCCAATACAAGTTCCATTATAGTTAGGCTTTCAAAATATTTAAAGTTTTGAAACTATTTCTGGGTTATTGCTGCTTAAAAGTCTGGATCATGTGCCCATTGAACTCAGTAGGAGCAGAATAAATCCCATAGTGACTAGGACAACAGACAAATGCCAAGTCAGACTCAGTTCTAGAGTAGATCAGACTGGTCTTATGGCATTCTGGGAAATCTTTTGCTAAAAAAGGCAGCAAATCACACACCACTCATATATATTTTTTTTATTTCTAGGTTTGCCACCGCTTCCTCCCTTGCCACCTCTAAATCTGTCTGGAATAACACCTCTTTCAATGCCACCTGAGTTTCTTGCACAATTTCCTTTGGTCACAGAGGCATCTACTCCACCTACAGATCTGCTCCCCCCCTTTACTCAAGTAGGGAGCTTATCTGTTGACCCGAGCACTACTGTAAGTGTAGAACAAAACTCTGCACTCACTTTGGATGCTGCTGTTCCCACTTCTAAGGCAATTCCTGTTGATGACAGATCAAATGAATCTGCAACAGTAAATGAAAAAACATCTGCAGTCACAGCTGTACATACTTCAGAATCGTAACTTCAAATCATTGTTGATTGGCTTGGTATATTTAGCTATGGGATGCATATTTGAAGATGCAAATTACCATTAATTTCATAGTAGTTTGTACTTTATCTGTAGGAGTCCTGTAAATAACACTGAGGATAAATAAGGAAATGGGATTTATACAGTGCGCTGAATGAGAGGGAATAAAAATGTATTTAAACAACCAAAAAGAAGCATCATGGTAGTAAAACAGACTTCTCACTGCCAAACTTGTAGGTTTAACAAGCTGCCAGTCCCTTTGCTTAAGATTTCCAACTTTTGCTTCTATTAGAAATGAAGCAGGTTATATGTGACAATTGCATACCATGTTTCTTATTCTTTACAAGTATGGAAACTTTGTGACTACAGTCAGGAGGGGGAGTGTTTACTTTTGTCTGAGTTGTAAATTTTAGCATTACAAAACTTCCAACTAAAAATATTTTATTAAAGTTACTGAATGATCTGTCAATTGAGCATCTTTTTATTCAATTTGTATACAGATCTCTATCTTAAACTTTTAAGAAAATATTCAGTCAACATTTTGTAGCTGCTGCTGGATTGCTTTACCACACCCATGTAAAATGATCTTTGGAAGAAAATGAAAAATGTTGCACAGTTTTAAACTAGAAGGTGGCACTTTGACTATTGTAAGATAAGATACAAAGAGGAAAACATCATATGGCAATAAATTCCTGGAATTTTATTCTGTGACCAAATAAGCACAATATTTGTGTTCTGTGTGTAAGATGTGATAACTTTCTGTTCACTTTTTAGTGACTCATTTTTCCACCTAGAGGAAATAATCCTTCCTCTTTACAGAAAAAGGAGACAAACAAGTTACATATGTGAATGGAAGACAAGACTAGTACTTAGTGCATTTAGCACTGGCAAATCATCACAAAATGATATTTATGACACAGGCTTGCATTTCAGGTGCTGCTCAGGATGAAGGGGTTGGTGTTGCCTTTTACATCAATAAAGTGCTTTACAAAATGTAGCAGGGCTGCTTCACCCTCTGTTAAAGTGCAAACATCTCAGCTGTCACCATCACATAGCAAGTTAAACACGAAGTTAATCAGTTTCCTCAAAGGTGGTTCTAATCTTATGTTGCCTGATTTGCACTTAACAGCCCACATTGAAACTCTTCCTGATCTAGTCAAGGTGCTCAGGACTAAGAATCACCCTATTTATACCCTCCCAATCACCAGCAAGAGAAGACATGCTGGTGCTTAAGCATGCCCACTTTCTCTCTGCTGTGCAGGTTAAAAATAGATGCACCCTAAATCCAGCTGAAAGATCACTATGGCTACCTTTTATTAGACTTTCATAGTATTTATCAATAAAGAATATCATGCAAGTAGTGTCATCAGGCCTGATAAGAATTGCTGGTACAGCTAAGTAAACCCTTTGCCAGTTGACACTGTGGGCTCCTTAATGGTCACAAGACAGGTTGATTTTGTGTTTTCACTAAATA